CCTGGGGAGCAGAATTGGGATGGGATAGGTAGGGAGTTAGTGGGGGGCAGGGGAGGAGGGGACGGAGAGGGAACTGGGATTGACATGTAAAACAATCTTGTTTCTAATATAAATAAAAAAAAATGGAGAGAAAAAAATATCCCACATGCCAGAAAACCCACAAATCCAAAATATTTCTAGCCTCAAGCATTTTAAACAAGGTATGTATGCATGTATGTATATATATGCACGCACATGTATGTGTGCACACACTTGCATATATATGTGTGTATATACATACATATATAACTTGTGTGTGTGGACCAAACTGAAACCAGCAGGCTTAAAATATAAATTCTTACTAAAAGCACCCCACCTAAAAACCAAAGATAAAGTTCAAATGAACAAGTGGTCATTTTTAAAGTAATAGAATAAGGTACTGAGTTCTTTGTGTTCTGAGACAGCTATGGATTTAACACAGGTTTCCATGGCCTGATACACCTAAGATAAATAAATATTCAACAGTCACAGGATGGAAAGGGAAGTGGTTCACAGAGACAAGAGGGACACTCAAATCACAAAGGATAGAGTACTCTTTCCTAGCTCTGTGATCTAGTGTGGAGATAGGTATTTGCATCCACCTTGCCCTTTGACGGGAGGCCTGTAGACATGGCAGCCCATCTGACAGGACACTTGGAACAGAGGTGGCCAGGTTCCATCCAGAAATAGCCAACAGTTAAGTGGGATTAGTCTATGTGCTTCATTCCACTAGGAAGCTGGTGTGCAGCATGGATGCACTCCATAGCCCAAATCTCCCACTCTGCTCACAGAGGAAAAAACAGCAAATCAAGCAGCTTTGGCATGGGAGCTGATTATTTACAATGACCAAATTCCTTTGAAAGAGCACCAATGAAAATAGCATAGACTCAAAACAAAAGACTTGGCACTTTGCACACAGTATTTCAGTCAGTCCTAACTAACTCAGATGGGACATGTTGGGACACTCCTTTTCAAAATTAGGAAAGGATAGCCCTCAGAGGTAGCTGACATCCTATATTCTCAGAGCCCAGGGTGAAGGAAGGGCCTCTGGAGGAAGCAACCAAGTCAGCACATGGCAGCTTGCTGAAGAGCAGTTAAGGGCCCAGGAGAGGGAGATATTAAAGAAACAAGGGGAGGAGGCGGAGCAGGAGCCATGCCCACACCACACCAGGAAGCAATATACTCAGCAGCTGGCAGGTCGAGCACATTCACACACATGCATGCACACATGGACTCTGACTCTCTCTCTCTCTCTCTCTCTCTCTCTCTCTCTCTCTCTCTCTCTCTCTCTCCCCACACACACACACACACACACACACACCCACACACTCAGCTGTGAATCCAACAAGGCAGGCAGGACAGGACTACCACCAAACAAAATCCCATCACTGGCTCCTTGCCTCACCCATCCACCAGTTATTTCTCCCAAATAATTCCATAAAACGAATACCCCATGCCTTAAAGCTGTAGGGCTTTCTTTTCTTGGTCAATACCCACACAGCCAGTCCTTGGTTAGACCAACACTGCCTACTACTTTGTTCAGCAGCCATAGCTATGTAACCGACTATGCAAAAGTAGCAACACCTCTACCCCTACAGAAACTCCCCCAGGATAGCACTAGGCCAGGGAGGAAGAAACACAGGAATTCCAGCCCTTGGGAAGCTCATGGTGTGTGGGCCACAACATCTCAACAGTCCTGAGGAGAGAGCTGCAAAATAAGGTAGATGATATCCGTGTGGAAGAAGCCTGCTCTCAGGGAACATGTTGGAAAATGAGGGCCTTATTTCTATCTATTCCAAGACAGGGGCTTAGCAGTCAGAGGCAGAGTACAGACTTGCACTGGACAGAAGCCTAGAGTCTGGAAACACTGCATGTCAATTCCCACAACACAGCATTAGGTCACCAGTTAAGTGTCCCTGGTCATTTTGGCTTGGGCTGATTCACATTAAACACTGCCATGGAAACAGTAACTATTTCAGGAGGGACTTTGTGGCATGCTGAGACAGATAACCCAGGCAGCTGAAGGGCTCATGCCATGTTTCGGGCTACCCAGAAACTGTGGGACCATCATTGCCTGACAACCTGTGGGTGTCACAGAGTAGCAGCCTTAAGGGTGGTACAGTTTCTGCTAACAGGTCACACTCCTTACTCTCCACTGAAGAGGAGAAGGAGGGCAAGGAGGAGGAGGAGAAGCCAGCAGCTCAGAGCTATTTCAATCACAGAACTCACTTTGAAGGGCTTGTCTCTAAACACTGGACACACAAGAAGCACGGCCTCATAAAAAGGAAGGTTTTTCTAAGATCTGTGCTCTCCAAATCAGCAGGCACTTAGAAGTTTTCTAAAACCTATGGGTTCATTGCAGTGCCCAGACTAAACACCGTTGTAGAGGAATGTCTGTTCCAAGCCAGCTCCTTCATGATGACATGTGTGGCTCTTAAGCAGTCAATGTGATGCTCAACAGGAAGGGCACAGGACCATGTTTCCTCTGACCATCCCACCCCAAGAAGTCCTTCACTGGCAGTCATCACTCCAGACAACCAGTAGGGGCCATGATGCCCACACTTGGACACTGTGAAGAAGGTACACAGGCGCCTGTCCACAAAGGGCAGTGGGGAAGTACTTTCTACAGGAGCTGACCCTCACCTGAGCATCTCACTACTGTGAGAGCAGGCACTGCATGCCATACAGGGTAGAGACACTGCATAGAAAACAGTGCACCCTTCAAAGATGGGCGGGTGAGCCTGAAACAGACATGGAAACCACCTTTATAAGGCCGCCAACATCTTAAAGCCAAGTTGTTTATAACTAAGTCTACACTGAGCAGACTTGTAAATAGATAGAAGCATTCCAGGAGAAATAATGAGCATATTCTCTATACAAAGCACTCAGTTGTTCCTCTACCTTCCCACACCCTACACAGGACTCACTCTCGGACTCTTGGCCTATGCTGTGGCCAACACTCTGGAACGTTGTGGACACAAAGCACAATTGAGAACACTCAGGAATGAGAGCCAAACAAATCACAGACTAAGCAACCACTCTCACTGCTGAGAATCCCTACAGTGATGAGGGCCAAACAACATGTGGAGTACACCCCCATTCACACTGAGGAACAGCTAGGCTCGAGGACACCCCATAGACACTGAGGAATGGTCAGGCTTGAGTACACCCCATAGACACTGAGGAATGGCCAGGTTCCAGTGCACCCCATAGACGCTGAGGAATAGCTGGGCTTGAATGCACCCCACAAACACTGAACCTGACCCCAAACCCAACTTAAGAGACTCCCAGAGTCGGTGTGTTGAGCACAAATTCCCACCTCTAGACAAGAAGGTATCTGCAACTGATAGCTGTTAGAAGAGGGAAAATCAGCTTCTTCGATGGAGCAACAACACTGGGTATATCAACCTACACTCCAGGGCCAGTATCGTGCTTAGGAGCAGTTGGCCAACACAAAAGGGACTCCATGGTGTGTGTGTGTGTGTGTGGTGTGTGTGTGTGTGTGTGGTGTGTGTGTGTATGTGTGTGTGTGTGTACATGCACAAGCACACACTTTCGTCTTTTGAGAGAAAGAAAGCATGACGTTGGGTGAGGGAGGATTCTAGAAAAGGATGAGGGAGGAGGATACGATCAAGATATTGCATGAAATTCTTAAAAAATAAACAAAAGAAAATGCCCAAATAAAAAATACCTCTTGGATGATTAAATTCACCAAGTCTTACTAATGACTATAAGAATTGCTTTCTAGGCCACAATATTTGAGGAGTGCCCATAGGCCTATGAGAGAAGGGCCGGACAATTCTGTGGCTTTTAACCAGACTCATGTACAGCTGCAAGGAGATAAATCCTGTCAACAACCGCTTGGAAGTTGGCGAGTTCCTGATGGGAGCACGGCTCAAGCCAATACCTAGAATTATGGGCAGGTGAGAGCCTGAAACCGAGAATTCAGCCCTGCTGGGCTAGACTTCTGACTCTCACAAACTGTGAGTTAATAAATGTGTACTGTTTTTGTTTGCTTTTTTTTTTTTTTTTAAAGTGAGAAGTCTTTAATTTCTCAAGTGTCTCAACCAACTGGCAGAATCTCAGTTGGGAGGGGACAGACATTTAGGACTGATCCACACCATCTGGAGTCCAAATTTTCTCTGCAACTCATGGCATGCCTCACTCCCCCTTCAGTCCATAGCAAGAGCTACGAAGTCAGCTGATGGTGACTTCCTGGAGCGAGCCATGTGGCTCTGAAGGGCAGGCTTGCACTCCCACCAGGAAAATCTCTGAGACTTCTCTCAAGTGTGAGCTAGCTAATAAACTCTCCACACCGCCATCTGCTTTGTTGGGAAAGAACTTAAAAGCATTAGAAACAGATCTGTACAAGAGAAATGGCAATCACACGCATCATGGACAAAGCTGGGAAACATATTATTAAGCATCTTGGTTACATCTGTCAAATGGAAATTTTTCAAAGCAGCAGTATCTTTATTAATCTGAATATTAATCTTTCTTTCCAATAAGTCCTGCAGCCCTCCTCCCCTGAGCAATGGAAAGGGACTTTGTATTCAGTATTGTAGATGGGGCTATGAAACCTGAGTCCTACCCTCATTCTATAAGGCAGAGCAAGTCATACTTTCCCACCAAGCACCCTTGACAAAGGGATGCTGCCTGGCTCTCCTGGAAGGCATCAAAGGAAGATCAAGTAGGTCACGACATGTGCAAACCCAATGCCCCACTAAGGCATTACCATCGGATGTTTCTCAAGTGCATGGTAATTGCTGCTCTAACTCAAAATGAGTCCCCTTTATTGCTTCCAGGGAAGTTTTACTATTCATTTGGCAAGTATAAACGGCAAGTTTAAGCACCAAATGCCTCGTGACAAAATAAAAACAGGACTACATGCATCACCAGTCATTCTTAAGACAATCAGGCCACAGTGGGGCCGAGACATCACGTAAGCTGCCCCTGACTACAAACAGTGGAAGCATAATTACCTGTTTCTCCCCACAATGTGTCGGTGCCATTGACTTCGATTTCATGTTCCTCTGCCATTCCCAGCAAGCACTGGACTACCTGTCAGACGTGGCAAGGTGATTTAATGAGCTCTCAGAGCAATAGGTGCTTATTATAGTCCATATATCAAAGGAGAGAGTGTTGTTTTTTTAACCATTATTATCATATGCTGCACAAGTAGAGAAAATAGAATGAAAACCATTTTCAAGCATAATTTGTATGCTATTCACACTTTCACTTGGAGAATTAGAAAGAAAAAAAAAAAAAACAATCTCAGTGAATTTCGGCAACTCTGCTCAGGGTTACCAGGTACTCAGAATTCTAATGAATTCAGACATGACCCAAATATGCCAACGTAATCAACAAAGGGCCCATTGGATCACAGAAAGTGCAGCTGCGGCATAAATCGCCATTAGTGCATTCTTCACACGGAAGGAAAACAAGGTGATATATACTTGTTACAGTAAAAAATTTCTTTTAGTATTATCCAAATGATTTTTCAGCTGACAGTATTTTCCCTCTCCCTTCTGGGCATCTTCCTGTCAAAGAGCAGTGTGGGGCACAAGTTGGAGGCAGGAAAGCTTGCTCTTGGGAGGAGATGAAGTATCTGTGCCCTGGACCAGAGCCAGCATCATCCTGAATGACAGGAGAATAGGACAAAGCCATTTTCCAGGCTCCCAGTCTACGTTGTTTTCGGTCTGCTGACTGGGTCTCTTCCTAATCTCCAGAAGCTGTGGGTGCTCCTTGAATGGCAGGAGGAAATCACAGACCTTGAAATGGAGTGATTAGGTGGAACTGTCTGGGTCTACAGTCTGTCACAAACCTGGTACAACCACAACATTCGGAAGGATCAACAGGAGGAATCTGGGCCAGGCAAGGAAGGAATAGGGACAGGAGTGGGGTTGTGTACTCTGAAGATGAAGGAAGCAGGTCTGAGCTAAGGAAGGTGGTGGCTTCTAGAAGCTAAAAAAGCCGGGAAAGGCTCTGTCCTGGAGCCCTCAGGGAGACTCCTGGCTTCCTCTCACCTTAAATTTAGATTTCTGACCCCCAGACAGTTATGATTAAAGTGTGTTTTAGTCGCTCAGAGTGTGACCATTTGCTGTGATGACATTAGGAAATTAATATCCTCTTTGGGACTTTTGACTAAGAAATCTTGCCTTTCTGCTTGGAGTGGTTATTGGTTACACAGAGGCAGTTTCTGCTCAGTGTCCTCCAGGCCAGCTCCTAAGTAGTGACATGAGTTAAGAAAAGGATCGCTTCCAAACATGGGGCATTGCCATGTGTGGGTGTGCATGTGCTCAGAGACCTTCCAGTGATGACATGCTGGAGTCCCATGCCTGTGATTCCAGTACTTGGGAAGGAGAGGCAGGAAAATCAAGAGTTACAGAGACTAGGCTATGTGAGGTCTTGTTTTAAAAAATCAAGACAAATACAATAATGGCCACATTTTCAGATATGTGTATTTAACACTGTAATTTGTGCATGCTAAATATTAGCCAGCCAGCAATGCGTGTTTATATGTATATCTGCCATCATGTGTGAGTGCCAAATACCAGGCAGCCACCTTGGCATCAAATTTTAGTCGTTCGGGGGGAGTGAATATTACCAAATATTGGCACTTCCAGTTGCTTAAAGACAACATGGAGTGAGAAACACACGGCGAAGTGGTAGCAAATGCTATTATATTTACAGCCAAAGCAGAGAAACAGGCCAGCTGATGACAGCCAAATCTTCAAACCTAAAGCTAGTGACATCCACCAGAAAGAATCTCCCCTTTGGTGCAGGAAATTTGAACAATGGGCCTTCTCACAGGCTCAATGCATGTAAGCTCCATTTTTAAAAACCCTTCACACACTCAAGTGTGACTTCAAACTAGGATTCCATGTAATTATTTTCTAAAGTTTATAAGGACAAAAGAAGGACCCCAAAGGGCTGGGAGGAAAGAGAGCAAGGTAGAGGGTATAGTAGAAGAGGAGAGGAAGGTTGAACAGTGAACACCCAACAGAGCTCCTGAGTGGAAGGGAGGCTCTCTGCCCATCCCACGCACACGAATGAGACCGTGGGCCTCACTCACTCACAGCAAGGAGACAGCCACTAGTTATTAGTCAAGTCAGCAGCTGCTTCTTGAATCTCCACTTCCTTTTGTTGCTGTGGCTCTCTGCTTAGAAGGCAGAGACCAAACACATGATATTGGGTTACAGCATCTCATACCTCAGGAAGCAACCCCACAACCCCGCTCACCGAGCTGTGGCCCATGCTGGCCGCTGCTGTCAGTGCCTGCTGCAGGGCTTGGCTCTTCCTTAGTGTGCCAGGCTGGGGAGGACCTGCTGCCCACTCACAATTCAGTAAGTACTGGAGAATGTCACTGTGGCCCCGAAGCGCACTGTGGACGAGTGCACACTGACCTTTCTTATCCAAGTGGTCTACCTGGGGAGCAGAAAGAAGCAGGGTAAAGGCAAGGGTGAGCATCTCCTCTAGCCTGAGAACGTGACCGCCCTAAAGGCTATCAGCAAACTCATGCTGCTGCAAAAGAACAAGGCTTCAAATTCCAACCTGTCTTTCTGGACAGCCTTTGAATCCCTTCACTGAGATAAGAACACTCATGGAGGCCTCAGGTTCCCGCTCAGGGGTGGTAACCACGAGACAGCCTTGTCGAATACACATCTCAGCAAACGGCACAGAGCTCAAAGACTGAAGCCTCTGTGTTTCCCAGTGGAGTACTTAGTACTCAGGCTGCCCTGAGACCCTTGGTCACAGAAACAGGGAGCCAAAGAAGGAAAGTGTCCAGAGAACACAGATCTAAAGGAAGGAGAATGGGTAGGGAGATGGCCCGGGACACACTAGCTTATAAATGAAAGTCACAAAGCTGGGAGGTGCCAGCTAGTCAGAAGAAATGTGTGATAGTGACCTGATAGTGGCAGGCACCCCCAGCATTCCTTATCTAAATGTGGGAGTCCTAGGACTGAAAAAAACCAAGGGCCCAGCTCTGACATGTTTGCAAAACTGGGAGCATGCTTCCTCATCACCTGGAGACTCTGTAAGAGTCCCCCAACATGACAGCTAGCCTCTTCCTGCAAGCTCTCAGTTGTGACAAAAGAGGTACCACTAGCTTCAGAAAAAAAGCTAAGAGACAGCTGGTATCCAGAAACTGGGGCATGTGGCATACAGCAGTAAAGCATGCACCCCAAAACTGGAGCTGAGGTCAGATGTCCCAGATGTTGAACTTTGAAGAACAGCAAGTAAACAAACAAAACAAAAACCATTTTTGTACCCACTATAAGCCTAACTTAACTAAACAGGCAAAAGGCAATTAGCAGTGCTTTCCCCATTGTTACTAAGAGGGATTTGCCTATGAAATGTCTATATGCTAAAGAGGGCTTACGTTGAGCTTAGCATCCATCTCACTTCATCTAGGAGCCTCTTAGCTCTATACTAATGTGTCAAGTAGCAGGGAGTTATCTCATGGTAATAGCAAAAGGTTGGTTGAAGGCTCACACCAGTGTCTTAGCACAGTTCCTGGGATTTCACAGACAGATGAGAAATGTAGTCCTCAAACGCCCAATGTTCCAGGTGGGAAAAGGAAAAATGATTTTAGGCAGTGCCCAAAGAAGGGGGAGTTGGGGGTGGTGTGAGGTAAACATTTAAAATCTTTCCAACAGGGCTGGCAAGAGGTTCAATGGGGAAAGGTACTTCCTGCCAAGTTTAATTCACAGAACCCATCCAGTAGAAAGAGAGAACCAATTCCCTCCAGTGCACTGTTTTCTGAACTCCTCATGTGTAACATGGCATGTGAGCTCACGCAGAGAGAGAGAGAAAGAGAGAGAGAGAGAGAGAGAGAGAGAGAGAGAGAGAGAGAGAGAGAACTTCCAAACAATTGTGGTGTCATGTTAGATTCAAGAATAAATTCAGTAGCCAGGGTACAAGAGCAAGCAGAACAATAGCTTAGGCACACATGGCTACCTCTCTCCTGGGGCTCCCAGTAAGATGCCCTGACCTACACGGATACTATAATCTCTTAACTCACTTCACTGGACAACACTGAAATCCACCAAGCCTGGGCCAGGGGTCAACAATTTCAGTAATGAAAGGAAGATATTCCCCTCTCTCCAGCCACCCTGCTGTCATCCTCCATGGCAACAAGGCTGCTACTTACCCTTGCCCCCTTCTTGGTCAGCAGACACACCAGCTTCATGTGGCCTGCAGCAGCTGCGTAGCAGAGTGCGTTCATTCCATTCTCCGACACCCCATCCAGGCAGGCGCCAAATTCCAGAAGTAGAGTGACAACTTCCTCATGGCCAAGGTGAGACTGGACGCACAGGATGGGGGCATTATTTAACACTTCTGTCCTATAGTTCACGTTGGCCCCTCCCAAAATCAGGAGCCGGCTCACCTGTTGGGAAAGGCCCCCCAACAAAATTAATATCTCATACATATGTTAGTCTTAACAACATCTGGGAAGGGCAGTATCTATAACTTCTTACTTTAACAGATCTCAAGTTTGAAATGTACCTGCAACAAATATGTATGCATGTGCATGTGTGTGTGTCTGCACTGGTGTGTGTGTGTGTGTGTGTTGTGCATCTTCACTGGAGTGCATCTTCACTGGAGGGAACTGCCCACATTCATCCAAATAATGGTAAACAGAACTGCAGTGTGAGGCAGCAGACTGAAAGCAGAATCTTGAAGAAATGTGCACACCCACGTTGCCATCAACAGCATTCATGAAGGCTGAGACATGGAAGCAACCCCAGGGTGCACCAGCTGAAGGATGGATAGAGATGTACATGCCAATAGTGGAAAGATTCAGGCTTAGAAAGGAATTAAGATATGCTACAGCAGAGACTGATATAAAATATGCTAAATAAGCAAAAAGACAAGGGCCACGTGATACTATTATGTTACCATAAAGGACATACCCAAGGTATCAAACACAGACATAAGCTGAACATGGCTTCCAGGCCACGGGCAGGGGGATACCAGTATTTAATGACTAAAGAGAGCTACTAGATGAAAGTTCTAGAGATAACAGTAAATGTAATATACTTCATTGGCTTCAAAATGGTTAAGATGTTAAACTTTCTCCCCCTCTCCCCCGAGGCAGGGTTTTGTATGTATGTCCTAGAACTCACTCTGTAGACCAGGCTGTCTGGAACCCAGAGATCCACCTGCCTCTGCCTCTGCCTCTGCCTCTGCCTCTGCCTCTGCCTCTGCCTCTGCCTCTGCCTCTGCCTCTGCCTCTGCCTCTGCAGTGCTGGGATTAAAGGCATGTACCATCACTGCCTGGCAGATGTTAAATTTGCCATTGTGGATTTTTAGCTCATTGCAAGTGAAAAAAAATTTTTTTTTTTGATGTGGACAGTACCCTCTCTTTCCTCATCCCCCACACAACACATTTTTAAAAGATTTATTTTGACTTTATGTGTGTGCATGTTTTGCCTGCATGCCTGGTGTTCACAGAGGTCAGAAGAGGACATCAGATCCCCCATAATCAGGGTTATAAATGGTTATGAGCCTCCACATAGGTGCTAGGAATACAATCCAGGTACTGTGCCAGAGGAACAAGTGCTCTTAACCTGGGGCCAGACCCTGGTTAGGACTGTTCAATGCTTTCCAGCTAACAGTGATATTAGTAGTGGAGGAGATATACTTTGACAAGCCATTAAATAGAGGAAATCCACCATTTTAATAATGAAATAATAATCAAGGATAGAATCATAACAATGACATAAAGCCAAAAGAAAACGTGAATAGTCTCTTCTCTTGACAAGAATGCATTCCTACAAGAAGACAGAAAGCACAGAAGTGTCCTTAGAACACCTGCCCCCCGACAGCATGTCCTCTGCTGCCCCCACTGACTACTGCACACAACACCTGCCAGACATCAGGACAAGTTCTGATCTGCACAGATTAAAATCATTGAACAGATGGAAATCTCTAACTATACTAATCTCCTTCAAATCTCCTGATTATGAGAAAGAAACTATGCCCTTTCACACCTATTATGATGTCCCACGCATTTCTTCAATTGGTCCTTTTCAACAGCTCCAACCTGCATCCATCACTCCCCTGCCAAGCCCTGGCAGGTCCTCAGGGCTGACCATTAGATTGAAAACCCCAGAGACCATGTCGTCTATTTGACTAGAGGCATGCAGGGGATCAATAGAAGATACAGAAAGGAGATGGGACTATCAAAATTCTGGGTAGTTCAGGCGTATGTCCATGGAGTAGCGGATAGAATATTTACAAACTGTAGGAATAGGGGGTTAATACAACCAAAGGGGAAACCACAGTCCATGGTGGCATCTTGACATGTTAGAACCCGAAGTATGAAATGTTAAGGTGTCTCCATGCTGCCAAAGCTTGAACTCCACACTTCATCTGCTTTGGTGAAACACATTTTTCTTCCTTTCTTCCTTTCTTCCTTTCTTCCTTTCTTCCTTCCTTCCTTCCTTCCTTCCTTCCTTCCTTCCTTCCTTCCTTCCTTCCTTTTTGTTGTTGTTGTTGTACTATTCTATTTTTACCACTTAAAAACCCTGCCAGTTTGTAGATCTTTACTCTTTGTTTTCAACCATGGGGCATACTTGAAGTCACCCAGAGCTTGAAAATTTCCAGTGCCTGTACCCTAGGCTGGAGATTCTGGCAACTCAGCTCCCAAGAGAATGGGTTTGGCAAGCAGGGCTGTACACACACCAGGTGTACATGCCCCTGCAGATACACTAAGACAGATAATCAGGTGACCTGCCATCCTTCCGCGCCCCAAACCTCTGCTCCTCAGCCAAAAAATGAGAACGAAGGCACCCATTCCCCAGGTGATTGTAAAGATTAACAGTGAAGGGCAAAAATAATAACACTTTGCCCCAAAGAGAGAGGGAGATGGGGGGAGGGAATTGGAGGAAAGGGGGAGAGGAGAGAGGGAGGGAGAGAGAGGGAGGAAGAGAGAGAGAGAGAGAGAGAGAGAGAGAGAGAAAACTACACTATTTGAAAAGCGCTAAATAAATATTAGCAGCTGCTGTTACCATCATCCTTGTGTTGTCTTCAGAGTGCTGCCTGGAAGTCTATCTCGCACCTACCTTGTATGTACCCTAAGACTATCCACAGTACCAAGCAGCAGGATGGAAGGCCTTACATGAGTCACAGCCACATCTCAAAGTTCCCAGGAGCCCGCAGCCCTGATGTGATCACAGTTTCCAAAGCCACGGGGAGCAGCAATAAAAACAACTCACCTGGGCAAATAAGACATGCCAGGCACTTTCCCAAGAGCTTTGGCTACCAGTTTACTGATCACTGGGAGGCGGTGTTTGTTGTCTCCGTTTCGGAGGTGAAGAGTCAGGGGTTGGAATGGGTAGGGCAAAGGTAGCTCAGGACATAAAGCTAATTGCTTCCACAGGGCAGGGTTGTAGCAGATATTGTGTGGCCCACAGGAAGGGATGAGGTGGCTCATCCTATGCAGTCTTGCCCATCTGCAGGCGTTCTCCTTAGCTAACACTTGAAAGTGGCAGTACCACCTAGCAGCTTATGAAAGCACACAAGGATAGTGTAGCACCACTGACAATAGGGACCTGGAGAAGTGCCAAGCAGCTCAAGCTGCGAGGCAGTATACTGAGGCTGACAGAAGCGGGGCCATTATGTGTCCTGCTAGATTGTGACGCAGAGTACAACCGACCCAGGAGCCCAGCCAAGTCCCTGCCTCCTTCTGGGTCTTCTCTCCTTTCAGCTGAGCAAAGCATCAGCAGCCAAATGCTCCCGTGTCTACACTTAGGGGCTGGCACCAGCCATACAACAACATTCGAGCAAAACAACCAGCTGGGCAGGATCCCAGTGGGCCATGCGGGGACAGGCTGGCATGACTCTGGCCCAGTAACAGAGGCCACAGGGCTAACACCAGCACACTTCCAAAATTACCAAGCACTCATTTCAGAGCAAGTCATTTTAATTTGCCAAAGTGGCAAACTGCAATTATTTTCAAAATGACATTCATTCCTGTATGACAACAGTTAATACTCTCTAAAAACAGTTCCTTAATTGCATGCATAATTTTAAATTACTGTAATTTGTTCAATATTCTGTGAAAACCGTTTTCTCCCTCATCAAAAGACTTACAAAGACAAAACAAGATAATGGAAGGACTTAGGGTTCTTAGCTAAGTTACATAAATTTGGGGATGGGAGAGAGGTAGGTCCCATGGGGATTTTGTAAAACAGAGTAAGAACGAACAACGCAAACTCGCCAGGATGTTAAAGGGAAAGCTGACAGCCTGGAGAGCGAAGCCGTGCTGTTCTGAAAAACCCACTCTCAGGAGAATTTAACGTTTCCAATTTGTTCCTCTCCACACTTAACTTGCCTCCGCAAGTTAATGTCTATGCCCATAAATCCATTAAAGGCGCATCAACAGATATTACCAGCTTACTACTTTTCTTCTTTTCTTCTTTATTAATTCTATGGAGAAGCCAAAAGTTATACTGCTGTTGCCAGAAAGACGACCAATGTTATAGTAACTTAAACTTGAATTTTTACAAAATCTAAGTGGAAAATATTCCTAACACAGATACCCCTTATGGGGCATCGAAATTTAGACCTAGCCATGTTTTAGACAAACTCCATCTGGAAAGGAATCATTACTTGGGACAACAGACAACAGTGTGAACTTCTTCTGCATTACAGAAATGGCTTCCTGCCCACTCACTTAAGCAAACCTTCATGCAAGGCTCAGTGGGGAACAGGGATGCCACTGGGACACAGGTAGTGATTTTAATCATTGCAAACACTATCTGTATCCACCCAGAGACAATAGATACTCTGCTCAACACCAAAGTCCTACACTGGCCATTAGGGCTCTGGGTCATCTACCTACCACTGCTAGGTCCTCCCTGGTACCCACAATCCTTGGCATGTGATAACCTCAGTCTTCAACAGGGACAGGAAGAAGCAGAGCACCTGTAAACAATGGGGAAGGCTGCATAGTGCAGACTCCGGAGCCGTGGCCGAGGGAAGTATTCTGAGGGTACAGTGAGTGAGGCTGGGAGAAGACTATTTAAGGGCCCAGGAGTGCTTCTCCTGTCTCCATCTCTGGGGCATGCAGCCACTTGCTTGAGATGAAGTGGATGCCAGATGCCTGAGAACTGAGCCAGGCCTTGCTTCCTCTTTCACTGATGACCATGCTGGGCTTTCTTTGGCTTGCTATGAGAGAGTAGGTACAATTTTCACTTTGCAGTGACATACAGTGAAGTCTCAGTCCACTGAGAAAGAGCCCCAGAGTTTGCATAGGAGGGCATGTCAGAACCTGGGGCTGGACACCTCTGTGTGCCCTTAACCAGACCTGGTCCAAGGTATGATTTTGATTCTAAAACTGTATTATACAATCTGCAAATGGCAAGAAAAATCTATCTGCAAGATTACAGCAAGAATAGCATGATAGGAAAACCACTGACCACAGTGCAAAGGCGTTCTCAGCTCAGCGTGCAGCCAAACCTACTACTCTTTCCTTTGCCAGAAGTGTATGTGTCCCTGGAACCTGCAGGTAGTCTTCTGTGACCCATTGTTTTGTGTTATCAATACTTAATTTCATAGGATCCATGAGGAGCTGGGTTGTTGTGGCAATTCACGACACTAAAATTCAGTTTCCATGCAAAGCTCTCTGACCTTTGGTTTCCTTTGTGAACTACTTGCTGACCACATCCTCTCTGCAATGGTCACTATGTGCTAACTCAGTGGCTCCCTCTACCCTATCTCCCCCTGGGGGGAAGGATATGATGAGCACTCAGGGAAGACATCACCAGGAGCTCCCCTGCCCTCCCTGGAGTCTCAGCTGGCAGGACTGGCAGAGAGGGATAGACCAGTCTTCCCTGCAGAAGGCAGCTCACCTTCACGTTGGGAGTATAGAGATTCCTGAGAGAGGACAGGGCAGCAGACAGCCCTTCTGTGCTGTAACCAATCCACAGGGCCTGCAGATGGCTCGAGGAGACTCCAGTCTTCTTACTGAGGCCCTGGAAAGAATCAAAGACAGATGCCTGTGAACACCTCCCCCCAGGTGAGCATCAGTCTGAAAGTGAGTCTGCCCAACAGAGCTCTGCTGTAGACAGGGTCTCACATAAAAGGATCCCTTGGCCTGTGAGCACAGCTCACGGTCAGGAAATCACAGGCCATGGCCCTGTGAACCAAATGCACACTTGGGAGAGATAAGGAGAAAGCTTCCTTCTGCAGAAGGAAATCAGAGGATAGTAAGTGATAAAGGAGCTTTAATTAAGGAATGGGCCAGTAAACGCTAGTGGCATTACCAATAAGAGGCAAGCTCGGCACTGTGTCTCCTGACAGAGTATTCTCACCAGAGTAATCTTGGTATTTTGCAAGTGGAAAAAAATCCTCAAACCTGATAAAGGCTCTAGATACATCTACCTAGAGAGGAAATCCAGGGGGAAGAGGTACACATCAAACTTGATGTTGAGAAACAAGCAAGGCTAGAGAACCCAGGCTGTATGAAATGATACAGGCCACAGAACTAGAGTTCTTTGATTAGTAATGACACAATGGGGAATGAATGAAGGGCCCACAGACCTGCCTAAAATCTTCACAAAATTCACGCACACCTCACCTTGAAAATGTGTGCCTTCAGGATGTGGTGGCCAAGCTCCATGGTCTGCTGGCGGTTCAGCTTGCTTTCCTGTCGAGAGAACATGAACGCCAGTAGAGCGTGTCCATTCCTAGGACAAGAAATACAAAGGCTCATGACAAAAGATCCCATCCCAGCATACCACAGGCCCTCGGCTGAGGACATCACACTGCCCCTGAGCTGTCATCTGGGGGCATCAGCATGAGTACACAGAACACTCAGGCTGCCAGCTCTTTACAACGATGGCAAGTGATATTTATTCTGCAGTCATTTGCAGGGCCTTTCCTGGGGTTTCTTATCACTGCAGAGTGAGCAACTCAGTGCCTGGATCTCCAGGACCACACTCCCCGCTCATCACCATCACCCCCCATCACCTGGAGTTTTGTTCAAGCCTGTCATAAAAACACAAACTTCAAGACACCAAGGGTCTTGATTAAGTCACAGCTATAATCATGATGCCTAGCAAGACACCTAATTAAAAATACACGAGGAATTGCTTACAGGATGGATGAACATGAGGAAAGGTGGTACATAATCCTCACTATCCTCAGCCCCCACCGTACCCCCATCATCATTCTGGAACATAACTGGTGGAAGGCAGTCCTGGCTTTATAGGGGGAAGGTAAGAAAAGCCAAGCCCTGCATAGTATGAGCTCCCAAGGAATAGAGCCTAGAAGACTAGATGGAACCCACACACTTTAAACCCACAGATTTTCCTGCCTCTGTCTCCCTAGTCCTGGAGTTAAAGGCATGTGTCCACCCAGTCTGAAACAGACTACAAAATCAGTAGGTTTCTATACATTGATAACAAAACTGCTATGAAAGAAATCCATCCATGGTAAGGAGATGAAAGAGAAAACTAAAAGCCACTGAAGAAACTGAAGATACTAGAAAACAGGATCTCTTCCATTCACAGATTGGCAATATACCATTGTTTAAGTGGCCATATTATTCAAGTAATCTAAACAGTTAATGCAATGGCTAATGCAATATACTAAAGAACCATACTAATAAAAATCAGGATGACATTGGAATAAAAACATGGACCACTGGAACAGATCAGCCACCTGACTTTTCACAAGGTGCCAAAAATATATGCCAAAGAAAAGGCAGATTCTTTAATAAAAAATGCTGTGAAAACGTTCACATGTAAAGAATGAAACCATATGTACATCTCTGATTGTGCATAAAAGTTATTCAAATGCATCAGAGACCAATGTAAGATCTGAAATTTGAAGCTACTAAGAAAAACACTTCAAGGGGCTGGAGAGATGGCTCAGAGGTTAAGAGCACCAGCTGTTCTTCCAGAGGTCCTGAGTTCAATTCCCAGCAACCACATGGTGGCTCACAGCCATTCATTATGAGATCTGGTGCCCTCTTCTGGTATGCAGATATACATGGAAGCAGAATGTTGTATACATAATAAATAAATAAAAATCTTTAAAAAGAAAAAGAAAAACACTTCAAGAGACAGACATAGGCAATGACCCTCTGAATCAGAATCCAATGTCTCAGGAAACAGCAGCATGCACTGACAAACAGGACTGTACAAAAAGAGATGGTAGTAGAGGAAATCGCCTAATGTGGACAGACAGCCCACAGCAGGGCTCTCTGCCAGCTACTCATCCGAATAAATCAAGAACTCCAACCCACTCATGGCAAAAGAACAAGGAAAGCAATCAGCAAAATGTTCAGTTGAAGTAAATTGAGCTTCTCAAAAGTATGATTGGCCAGTATTTTGGAAAAGGTTCATTTGTGGCCATTAGGGAAATTCAAGTAAAAAATATACTGAGAGTCTATCTCATGTCAGTCAGAACAGCTAACACCAAGGAAACAGGGCTGAGAAGGTATGCTTGGCATAATGCTTGACTAGCATGCATGAAATCGTGGGTTCAATCCCCAGCATGGCAGAAGTAGTGGCACACATCTGTAATCTGGTACTTAGATGGTTCAAGGCCATTCTTGGTCTATAATGAGTTCAAGGCCTACTGACCTAGGACACATAAGACTCTGTCTCAAAGCCAGGTGTTGGTGGCGCATGCCTTTAATCCCAGCACTCGGGAGGCAGAAGCAGGCAGATCTCTGTGAGTTCGAGGCCAGTCTCCAGAGCGAGTGCCAGGATAGGCTCCAAAGCTACACAGAGAAACCCTATCTTGAACCCCCCCCCCCAAAAAAAAAAAACTCTGTCTCAAACAAAACAACAGCAATAATGAAACAATAAATATTGGGCAACAGGAGAACCCTTACATACTTTTGAGGAGAATGTAAGTTGCACAAGCCACCATACAAAGCAGTATGGGGGTTCCTCTAAAGAAAACCACAATCATTCCTGTGTGTGTATCTTTGGGAATCAAGCCAGGTGGTGGTGGTGCACACCTTTAATTCCAGCACTCAGGAAGCAGAGGCAGGTGGATCTCTGTTAGTTCGAGGCCAGCCTGGTCTACAGAGCTAGTTTCAGAACAGCCAGGGCTACACAGAGAAACCCTGTCTCAAAAAACCAATAGACAAACAAACAAATAAATATTTTTAAAAACCCTTTGGAAATCAAAGCCAGCATATAATAGATATACCTGCCCATCGTGTTTAACACCACACCTTTCATATGGGAATTATCCTACATAAGGTGCTGGATAACTTATGAATGAAGAAGCATGGTGCATAATATATACAGTGGAGAATTATCCAGCCACAAAGGAGAATGAAACCCTGTTATTTATAGGAAAAGTGGATGGAACTAGAGCTCATTGTGTTAACTGAAATAAGCCCAACTTAGAAGAACAAATGTATTATGTTTTCTGTCACACTTGGAATCTGGAAGAAAACAGCATGAAAGGGGCAGAAGGGGTAAAAGAAGGGTAAGATTGGGTAGCAGGAGGGGCTGCATATGATCAAAATATGTTAAATGCACATATATAACCACATACAATGAAACTTACTCTGTATAATTAATATATGCCAAGACGTTCAAGTTACGTGGTTACAGATGGCTCCATTGTGGGCAACAAGTACAGTCTTCAGTGGCCAGCCCAAGGGTTTTCAGGTCTCTCAGCAAAGCACATGGCTTCCCACCTGTCTGAAGTCCTGTCATTCTGTTTCTATGCAGCCCCCATACTAGCCTTCTATGACTGGCCTCCCCCAGTGTGCTCATGCCTCAGGGCTCCACTTTAGATCCAGAAACCAAACTGAGCTATTTCCTTCACCCACATGACCTTGTGAGTCACCTAGTGATATAATGCCAAGTTAGATGATTTACACCCAGGACCAAATGGCTAGTAACTGAGAGTGGTCAGCTGATGGGGGATGTCCTTCTGTATATATGTTTCTCTTATTGGATGATGAATAAAACACTGGCCAATAGAGATAGCAACATAGGTGGGACTAGGAAATGAGGAGATTTCTGGGAAAGATAGGCAGAGAGAGATCTCGAGGAGACACCATGTAGACCACAAAGGAGTAACAGGTTCGGGCATTCTCCAGTAAGCCAAGACCATGTGGAAATACATAGATTAATAGAGACAGGTTAATAACTAAAAGAGAGCTAGCCAGTAAGAAGCCCTAGCCACTGGCCAACAGTTTAATAATCAATATAGCATCCCTGTGTTTATTTGGGGCTGAAAAGAGGGCGGCGGGACCCAGCGGGACAAAAGAAACTCCAGCAACAGGCAGTCTACTCGACTCAAGAGCTTGGACTTGTGGGACAACAGCACTGGGTACCTCCCTCCAGGGGCTCTCAGCAACTGGAGGAGACACATACAACCATAATGAAATTCAGCCAGAAAACCACTGCAAAGAAGATATGCTGTGGGAGAAAGCAGGAAGCAGCCCCAATGAAACAATCCTACTTTCTTCCCTTTGCATTTCCAGTTACCTTTCCCTATGAATTACACTGTCTCGAGATGTTCCCAACAAGACCCCGGTTTCCTGTGTTACTGAATCCAAACTACTCAACTTCCCCTCTCTGTGTCTCCTCACAACCAAGCAGCAGGGGTCTCCTAGGATGCAGGATTCCAGTCTAGTAGCCTCCCCTCAAAACTCATTTCCCTTCACCTCTGCTGCTATCTCCAACCTCTTTCCCTGCAATTCTCCTCTACTTCTGCAAGCCCAGAAAGCTTTTCTCTCTGTATGTCAAGCTCCCTCACCAAGCCACACCACAGCTTTTCACCAGTGATGCTCAATCTTGAACTACCAACATCTCTAACCATCACACAAGATCTGCCAAACGTTGTCTATCTCCTTCGAGAAATGTTCACCACAATCTTTGAGGTATCCTTGCAAAAATGGAAATCAAAACAGAAAACACATGAACAAAAAGAGCAAAGCAGAAGGCATGAAAGCCCTTGACTTCAAAATTTACTACAAAGCTCTAGTTATCAAAACAGCATGGTAATGGCATAAAGCACACAGACCTCTGGAGTACAACAGAGACTCTGGCAGTAAATTCCCATTCTTACACCCAACTGATTTTCAACAAAGGTGATACATGTACCGAAGGAAGAACTCTTCCTTTCCAATTAAGCAGAAGAGTAAAGCTGAACATGTCTCTCACGACTTTAAAACACCAGCTCAAAAATACAGACTTAACTGTAAGACTAAGAGCTATGGACTAGAAGGAAAATAGGAAATACTGCAAGCCATTAGAATGAACGACGACTGTCCTGAGGAAGACCTCAAAAGCACTGGAAATAAAAGCAAAAAAAAAGGAAAGCAAGGTTGATTTAACTATAAAGCTTGTGTATTAGACAGAAAAGTGTGAGGACAGCCTACAAGGTGGGTAAAGCATTTGCAAACACACTTCTGACAGGAGGTTGCTATCCTCAGGTCCTGGTGACATCTGCCTGTCTGTGGTTACTGTCCCTGCAGCAGCTGCCACACTCAGCTCTGCCCTGTGCTGTGCTGCCATCTCTGTTCAAAATGCAGCAAGGGTCAACAATGACCACAGTCCAGCTACCACCAGCTGCCTACGCCCTGAGAGTTCCTGATGTTTTTGTCTCTACAAAGTCACCTGCAGCTGATGTTCTTCCAAAATGATCTCTCCCTGAAAAACTGTAACTTGACAAGCGATGTCACAGCACACACTGTTGCCTCTGGCCATTTGGTTTTAGTAGCCAACCTGCTGTCTTATACCAGGTTTGAAAGATAATAAAACCCAAGTCCAGCATCACCTAAGAAAACAGCCATAGCACTGAGCAGCACTAGACCTGTCAGCACACATGAGGGGTGGTTATACGACTCCCAGGGACTCAGTGGCCTCTTCATTTCTAGGCCCAAGCATCCAACCCAGGGTCCTATAGTTCTAAGGAGACAATCCAGCAGCTTGCGAGCCCCATAGCTAGAGTAGGAGGCAACCTGACTTGGAGAACATCTACTGAAGAAAGCAAAGATGCAGGCTGGACAGAAAGAAGGCCCAAGAATGGCCATGTCCAGAGACACCAGGAGTCTTCCATTTCTGACCTCTCACCCTGTTTTGTACTAGTTGATAGCTGGTAATCCGGCAGGCAGGCAGGCAAGCTTGTCTCCCTACCCACCTGAGGTTTGACTTCTTAAGACCTGCAGCTTGCACTGGCCTTGTCTGTAAGGAGACAGCTAAGTCTCCCCTCTGTCCCCCACATACCTGTGTTCCCTGGGATGAGGTGCTAGATGGCCAAGGGTGGCCAGACAGTGGCAGGTGGTTAAGGATCTAAGACTGATGCCGGCCATGGGCACACATTCTACAGAAGCTCGCTAAGACCCATTTCCCATGTATGACCTGCCACGATGGTGGGAGGAGTCAGATCAGTGAAATAATTAGCAGCTAGGAAACATCACGATGATACCATTTGGCTTCCCTTCCACCCAAATACACTAGAAATCTGTGGTTCCAGCAATCAGAGGGAAGCTTTTGTTAAAAGGTATGGAAATTTTTATACACTCTGATGACCAAAATGGGGACCCAAACAACAAAACTATATAGTACTTGGTACTCAAATTCCTATAAGCACCCACGGAAGCGCCTCCCGTACCTGGGCTCACACAGGAAGGCTGTGCTTTCCCCATCTGCTCTCCACACCAGCCATTCTCTGAAGGATGGGTGGCAGAACATGCGCGTTTTGTCTCTCCTCTTAATGAGGAAGCAGGAGAGGGCCTCCATCCGCTGCTGAAAGTCCTCCCAGCCCTGCTCGCCTTGGATGTGGCCAGCATTGATAGCCTGAAATATCTGCTCATCCGTCATGGGGTGGAGGGACGCCAGGGCCACGTTTAAAATGGGAAGGGCTCTGTCGAAGGCAGACTGGGTCATGAACTTCATGTTGCACTGCAGCAAATAGAGCTCAGACAGAGACACGGGTACCACCTTGTAGCTGGCACTCTTTATGACCAGGTGTCCCCGCTGGAAGAGGTCCAGCGTGAGCTTGAGGTACAAGTAGGAACCAAGGCTCCGCAGCACCAGATGGCTGCTGACTTTGCTGATGAGGGCAGCGTCGGCCTTGCCGTTCAGGGAGATATTGCTGAGGATGTCCTGGCTGCTGTGGACCCTGTGCTGGACGTAAGCATGCAGGTCGCTGTGAATGTCTTTGTTGTCTGGAAAGTCATCTAAGGAAAGCTTGACAAATGGCAGAGCACTGATGATTTCCTGGGAGAAAACAAAAACCCACAGTGTCACTTCACGGAGTTTCCTTTTTCACTTTAAATCAGGTTCACTCACTCTCTTTCAAGGAGGATTTTCATGGATTACAGGGCCTCGTTGTTTCCTATTAAAACATGTAATAGGATAAGATACAGATAAAAAGCTTATGTGAAAGAAATCCTGATGCTAGATAAGATCGGCAAAGGCTTTTTCCCAAAACCCTCTTCGAGGACTCTAAGCCAAAGGAACAGAAGGAGGGGCCAAGTAGACAGCAGCAACCAGTCCACACCAACAGAGGGGCAGTGAGACCCTGTGGGTGACCCGATTCAGAACCATCCCTGAGCGGCTGGTTCTGAAACGAGGGTAAACACAAACCTGCGCTACACATCTAAGAACACAGCCAGACACCGAGATAAGAGGTACCCTCTCTGTATCAGATACCAGGGCTGTGTAACCCCACCAGGAAATATGAGACTTCCTGCCTGCCCCTGTCCCTGAATAATATACAGCAAAAAATCATTACTTATTCAGGTATAGCATATTCTCATTTTTAAAGAATTTTAAGTAAATATTCTTTCAGACAACTGTTTTATCAACATGACTGTCTTGTCTGCATGTCTATGTACTACATGTGTGCCTGGCAGTTCTTAATCACCAAGCCCCCGAGTGAACTGTTTGATGAATCCTAACTGCATGGTGTCATTGATTTTCCTGCTCCCTCATTTCAAAGATAAGCCTAGCCCTAGCCCCAAGAGCAGAAAGAAGAAAAATTTCAACTTCTCACTAATACTTCTGAAGCCTACACCCTTTTTAATGCAATAACTGTAAGAGGAAGGTAGTGGACAGTTATTTATTTGCATTTTGCATGGACATTAACCAAGCCTCTGCACTCAGCCTGCAGAGGAAGGAACACAGGACTCAGTTCAAGTTTTAACCTAGCTGCCAAATTATGCATACCGAGGGAAACATGACTGAAAGTATGTGGCTCAAAGGTACATAAAATTAAACACGTCATTTAAATTTAAGTGTAATTTCAGTTTTAATGAGGGAAAAAAAATCAGTATGATCACTTAGGTCTACAAAAGAAAACAAAACAACCACAATGAGCTGCCACAAACCCCTGGAAACAGCTTTCAAGTCGAGTAGGATCACTAGGCCGGAGACCTCAGCCAGAGCACCCCCCAATATGGTAAGCCAGGCTTAGGCACTGTCATTTCAGAAGGGACAGGACAATTCCCTGCTGACAGGATTCTTGGCTGACCCCTTGATAATCCTTATTCCCATGGGACTCTCTGAAGTCCTGATTCAATAGGCAAATGGCTATAACACTAGGCTGGGATCACTTGTCACTGTACACTTGGGGACTTGGAAAGAGAGGGGAGAAATCTTTTGTCACCTGAAAATTTGCTCTCACAGTCACAATCAACTTCAGCCAGGTGGGGAATTTAGGAATAATTTTGGTAATAAATGAAGACAGTGTATCTCCGTAATCAGGCTTATGGAATTCAGCTTCATTCAAGCCATCTATCAAAATGATGTACTCCTCTTCTGGAATTTTCTGCTCTAAAAGATGAAATAATTTTTTCCAAATTAAGAAATTATACATTTCTATAACACGGCACCACCCAGTGCATTTTAACACACAGCTTAAAGTGTTAGCAAAACCTAAAAAGGTTTACATATGGCAGAAGACATGTTTTCAAAGAAGCATATTTCCTATTAAATTTATAATGAAAAACAGAGCACTGAGCCAAAAGAAAACCAATTCTTACAAAGCAGTTTTCAGAAACATATTGCATTACAGACATTAGCAGAATCTCAATCCTATGCATGTAGCAGTTAGTTCCACATAAGCCACCATCACCTGAGTACCCTGCAGCCCAAGCCTGGAACAGACAGCACCCCCCCCCCCCCCCCCCCCCCCCCCCCCGCCAATTCCTTAGAGGACCGACTCCAGGAAAGGAGGGCCCAGCCCTCCCCACACTACCACCAAGAGCTGTCTACCCAAATCACCCAGTGGTGAAAGCACTGCCTTACAGATAGATACCCAGAGTGGGGCCCCTCCCACAGTAGGGACAGCTTTCTGCTTGCAGCACAGAGCTAGCATCACACAGCCATTACAGACCCTCTTTCTAGCATTTTCCAGCAGATGATGCTTTGTAGATGGATAACTCAAAAAGGAGGGGGGAAGAGGTTGGAAACCTTAAAGACCCATGATATCATTTACATTCCTAACCTGGAGACTATTCAGGGGCAAAGGGGGGAAAGGAAAACACAAATGGAAACTCCTAGAAGTGGTATAGATTTAGATTTCAATTCATCTAAGCAGGGGCTGTGGGGAAGGAAGGAGAACATGCTGAAAGATTCCCAACAATCCACTGGTTCCCCTGCTGCCTAGGAATATAAACAGTCTTCAGTGTGTGTTTTATCTAGTCTTTAGTGTGCGCATCACCTACATAGACTACAGAGATGCAGGACACCAGATTGTGCTTCCTTGAAATGTGAAGGACTGTGAAGGTCAAACAATGAATAAGTAAGTTCAGGTAGGCCCTGCCAGGCCTGCAGTGCTCCAGCAGCCGGAGAACTGGAGAAGTCTAGGTTTCAGTGCTTACTAACTACTTGTAACTAGCATTAGTTGTCCCATATATTATCTTCCCAGTTTCCTGCCTCTGAAAGTCCAAGCTATTTCCTGTTTTGTTTTGACATCGCACCATTCCCAAAAGTGACTGCTCTTTGTTGTGGATCCTGCTGAAGGTGGTATTTTGAAGCCCCTGCTCTGCTACCATCCACATCCATGCACTGTAGGCATTAATAAGCCCTCTTGGCTTTGCCCTGTTATCTGTCTACTCTTGGCTCATTTCATAGACTGAGGACCAAACCTTTGTAGGTCAGAAAGTCTTCCTCTTTCCTCTGTTACATGGCTTCCTTACAACTGCTTGGTTGTCGCTTTCACCCATAGCAGTGACATTTCATCGGAAACGACATTATGGAGGAGGATGTGGTGGCACCAGATGTGTACCGACTCATCAATAGCATCTCCCTGCTACCCCAGGACTAAGCTGACCACCACTCTGAGGACCACTTGGGCATCAGCCCGTGCTGGGCAGAAGCCCTGAGGCTTCTGGTAGGTACCATTTCTTAGGCTTGTAAGTGGCTCCAGCACGCCCCTCTTGAAAGCAGCCACAGGGTCCTGCACACAGGAGCGGAGGCTCAGCATGCTCTGCAGTTGGGGCTCCTTGATCAGAAGGTCTCTGTAGGCAGCCAGCTGGTGGGACCGGCACAGCAGAGCCGCAATGCTGTGCACAAACTCGGGCACCAGGCATGTGTAAGTGTTGTCAGCCTGGCAATAATGGTAGGCCACCACCTACGGAGAAGCAGAGACACTGGCATCATTCCACCTTCTCCACAGCTCCTCCCAGGACTTCAAACAAAAATGCAACTCTGACTTTTCCTTCCTCGGGAAGACATGGTACCTGCTTCCCGAGACAGAGTTTACCGACTAGCTTAATATTTATTCTGTTCTTCACTGGTGTGATTTGCTAATTCTCAGAGGACTATTAATTGCAGCCACAAATCCACCTTGATTAACACAAAAAATCAGCACAACTGTACTCTGTATTGAATGTGGATTAGTAAAAGTCATTTCTAGAACCTAATGCCTAGTCAGGCTTAGAGAATTTTCAAGCAAGCCATGTTCCTGACACCGCCATCTGCACCACATTTCTGTTCTCAAGATCAATGGCACCTCGAGGGGACCCTGTGCTCATCCAAAAAAAACAAAAAACAAAAAAAAACCCCACAGGATCAAGTTGGCGGCTATGAACCCAAGCTGTAAAATCACAGTTGCTTCTCCCTCCTGCCTCCCCACATCCTCACTTCTTCAAGGGATGCTATGGAGACATTCAAAAGGGACAGCCAAGAAATTACCAGCTAGCTGCTCACTGTGTGAAGGGGTACAAGGGAAGACAGGGAAGAGCTGCCTCCAGTGTGCAAGGCTGAGGGGTTTCCTTTGTTAGGACAGATTCGCAGAAGCAGGTTGTCTGTGAGATACTCCCCCAAAACTGCCCAAACACAGTGCCAGTGGCAGAGCTCTTGGGAACAAGAGGTACGCTTTGCAGAAATGGAAACCTTACCGCTTTGCAAAGGGGGATGAAAGCAAGAATGTGAGTGTGAGGTGAGGAAGGTGGAAAGGACAGCGTGCAAAGTACACAAGATTCCACAATGGCGGACTCATAGCAAGAGGCAAGAGTGCAGATGATGCAGCTTTTCTTGGGGCAACATAGAACAACCATGACTTCCAGGTTTGATTAAATCTGTCATTAGCTCTTAAGAGAAATGCTCACTGCTTTTCAATTCCTACGCAGACATAGATTACATGAATCTACATGAGGACCCTTAAACATGAGCAAACCATTACAAGATATCCAAACAGTGTCTTGTAATGTTTGACAAAAGCATTTTGATAACCCAATGAAGTCCATGAATCCATCAGGGAGCACAGATAGGTTTTTAAAATTTGAATAAAGTTAATTTCAACCACAGAACAGGCAATAGGACATAACCTAAATAGAGTTCAGTAACACCTTTGCTTCTGTGACCCGTGTGGTTATGTGTGTGTGCACATAACACTGTATCTCTTACTGTGGGTCACAACTGGAATACTTGAAAAACCACCATAGGGAAGTGTAGCTTTGAGACTGATGGAGTCATCTCAGATCATCCCTTCAAGGCTAGAGGGCTGCTCTGAATCAGTGGTCATATGTGGGTTCACTGTGCCACAAGCAGCTGCCTGCTGGGGTGGGGGCAGGTGAGAGTGAGGTGAAAGCAGGTGAGGTGGGGGCAGGTGAAAGTCAGGTGGGGGCAGGTGAGGTGAGGGCAGGTGAGAGTGAGGTGAGGGCAGGTAAGAGTGAGGTGGGGGCAGGTGAGGTGGGGGCAGGTGAGAGTGGTGTGGGCCAGGTGAGTGGGGTGGGGGCAGGTGAGAGTGGGGAACAGGTAGAGTGGGGTGGGAGCAGGTAGAGTAGGGTGGGAGCAGGTAGAGGAGGGTGGGGCAGGTAGAGTAGGGTGGGGCAGGTGAGAGTGGGGTGGGGCAGATGAGAGTGGGCTCGGCTGAGCGAGCATCCTTCAGTCCATCTGTGCCACCTCACAATGTGTCCTCTCGAGGTATGCCTCATCACTGCCATCTCTGATGGTTCCAACTCTATCACATCCCTCCACTGCTGCCCATGAAGACAGAAGCAGCTCATCAAGGCAAGAAACGCAACTGCCTGCAGGTAGGAAGGTGTCCTATGAGCCACGGTTAGACACAGAGAAGACGGAAGAGTTCAGAAAGTCCTTGGTGGTCATGCGTTGAGAGAAAAAAGTCAGCCAAAGTTCTTCCACAACCTCCTCAGGATCCCCTGACAGAGGATGTGGAGACCCACAGGCTCCGGGCAACAGGATCTAGGCAGAAGCAGTGTTAGCAGCTTCCTTCTCATCCCCCACTCACACAAAGAAAAGGGCGTGTGCTTGCCAGGATGGATGTGGGATGAGTACCTGTGACTTTTCCTGGCGCCTTCAACTCTGTGAACTTGGTTCAAATGGATATAAATCCATTGCTGCTGTCTTTAGGATTTATTCTCATTAAAAATTTTTATTTGGAGTACTCAATCATACTTTATCAAAAGCTACACTACACTCCAGCATCAAGCAGTTTCTGTTTTAAAATCCCTTCTCAAACTCATTTATCAATGCCAAACAAGCAACTCTGTATTGGAAGACTCTGGTAAATAAGAGCGGGTTACCTTAGAAGCCAGGTATTTCACTGCATCCTCTCTCGGTCTCTGGTTTTCAGCACTGCCAGCCCCAGCAGGTGTTTTGGCCACACTGAGAGCACTTGTGGAAGAACTTGGTGAAAGCAACGGCGTGAAAGGGAGGTCCTGGGTGGGATCTGATGCTGCAGAAAGAGCCACCCAATTGTAACATTAGCATGTGATAAGGAGTGTATAATACACTTCTCAATTCGTCCCAGACAAATCTGAATAGTCATGAGCAAACGTGACTTGAAATTGAGAGGGTTCAAATGAGCACACAAGCTCCCACTCCATCTCCTCCCTGGAGGGCTACGTCCCTACTCATTTCTTCTGGGGGAACAAAAGCTGCAGGGCAGTGGTGGAGCACATCTTTAGTCTTAGCATCTGGGAGGCACAAGATGGCAGATCTCCAAGTTGGAGGCCAGCCTGGTTTACAGAGTGATTCTAGGATGGCCAGGGCTATACAGAGAAACCCTGTCTAGAAAAACAAAACAAAAATCTCACATGACTCTTTTTCTTGTTCATATTTCAAGACATTTTCTTTGTTAATAGATTCAGTACACATCAAACAGTCAGGGAAGCCAGCCATGTTGGTGTGTGCCTGTATCTCAGCACTTGGGGTAGAGGCCAAGGAAAGAGGACCTCAAGTTTGAAGGCAGCCTGGGATGCAGAGAATCCTTTTGACACACTTGTTCTTGCATGCATTAAGTAAGAAGTCAAGTTTTAGCTAGTCTGTCTCTCATTTAAATTAGTCCTTTCATTTTGGTAAAGCCAGCACAGAAGAAAAGACTGTGGTGAACATAGGATAGAACTCTGCATAGGATAAAGGGAGGAAAAATAAGTATAGACAGACACACACACACACACACATACACACACACACACACACACACA